TCCTGAACCTCAAACCATCGAAGAGACGATGCGTCGCTCTGATTGGCCAAAATGAAAAACTGCTATTGAGGAGGAGTATGTCTCTTTGAATAAGAGAAAAGTCTTTGGTCTAATTGTAGACACTCTTACATCTCGCCCTGTGGGATATAAAATGGTATTAATATGCAAGCGAGATGCTCAAGGCCAAATAATCCACTATAAAGCTCGTCTTGTTGCTCAAGGATTTACTCAACGATTTGGCATTGATTATGAATCTACATATTCTCCAATCATGGATTCAATTACATTTCGATATATTATTGGAATGTCAGTTCATGCCACCTTTGAGATGCATCTGATGGATGTAGTTACTGCATATCTATATAGTTCTCTTGATACATATATTTATATGAAAGTTCCACTTGGCTTAGAAACAGGAACTCCAAATCAACCCGCTCCAAGAAAATATCATGGTATTAAATTATGTAAGGCCTTGTATGGTTTAAAACAATCCGGATGAATGTGGTATCAACGTCTTCGAGATTATTTAATTACAAATAATTTTATAAGTGATCTACTAATCCCTTGTTTGTATATCAAACAAGATAAAATTGGTTTTGTGATCATCGTTATATATGTTGATGATCTTAACCTAGTGGGCACTACATCTGCATGTGTTACAGCTACAAACCTACTTATACGTGAATTTGAGATGAAAATGCTAGAAAAAAAACTTTCTGCATGGGTCTTCAGATTATGCATCTTATAGATGATAGCATTTTTCTCTACCAACTAACGTATAGTAGACAAATTTTGCAAAGATTTAATATGATTGATGCTTATCCATTATCCACACCAATGGTTGCATGTGGTCATGATGGTCATGATCCATACTACCCATACAAGGAGGAGGAAGAAATATTGGGAGACCAATATCCATACCTCACAGCGGATAGAGCACTTTTGTATTTAGCTACATCTACAAGATCAAATATTACATTTGTAGTTAGTGTTCTTGCAAGACATAGTGCACGCCCAACACTACGACATTGAAATGGCATCAAACATTTATTACGTTATTTAAAAGGTACTAAAGACTTGGGATTATATTACACAAAATCTGCAGATCCAAAATTGGTTGGATATTGTGATGCAGGATATAAATCTGATATTGCAACAACTAAATCTCAAACAGGATATGTATTTTTAAGATATGGAGGTGCAATATCATGGAAATCACTGAAACAAACAATAACTGCAACTTCATCCAACCATGCAGAAATTATTGCCTTACATGAAGCATCTCGAGAATGTATTTGGTTGCGATCAATTGATAAATTCATTCAAACAACCTGTGGATTTTCATATGATGATTCTTCAACTATCTTGCATGAAAATAATAGTGCTTGCATTACACAGATGCAAGTTGGTTTCATTAAAGGCAACATGACAAAACATATTGATCCAAAGTATTTTAGTTATACTCATGACTTAATTACTAATCAAGTACTTATAATTAAGAAAATTGAATCTACAAATAATCTTGCTGATATCTTCACCAAAGCTCTCCCATTAAGCAACCATCATCGACTTATTTATGGCATTGGTATGTGGTGACTTACTTTTCTTGAATAAGAAAGTTAATGAGCTCTTTAAATAATTAAAGAAAATGATGTTGTACTCTTTTTCCTTCATCTATGGTTTTGTCCTTAAATAAAATAAGGTTTTCCTAGATAAGATTTTAATGAGGCAACAATTCTTGATCTTGCAAGATCACAGAAAAGTATAGATCATAATTCTATACAAATTTTATATTATGTAAATATTATGATGAGTGAGGAGGAGAATTGAGATCATTAAATGTAGCCAACGCTCTCCATAATATTTATTGTAGACTATAATAATTACTATAGCTACAATATTTAGAGTCTAGTAGAGAAGTACTGTTCATTCTCTCCTCTTCTCTCTTCTTGTATACGAGACACAACCAGATCAATAGATTTGTGTGTGTGAAGCTCTCTCTCCTTAGAAACCCTCTTGTGTGTATGATTTACTACTACTCTTGTGTGTGTATGACTTACTATTACTCTTGTGTCTTTCTAAACATTCTCAACACAAACAATTAGTGTGTCAAAGGTAAATGAACCAGATAAGCAACAAATACTGTGATCTATGTAGAAGAAAAGATCATCTTACAGACATGTCAGCCATTATGTGCTCGTTTCACGACAAGGTTAGGATCTAAGATCTGCTATTGTATGGTGTGCAGCTAGTAGAGCAGCATCTTTTCTGATAAAACAGTCATCCCTAGAGGGCAGTCATGTTGGGGCTGCAGCAAACAATTGAACTCACAAGTACCGTGGAATTCTTTGCAGCGGTAGAAAACTTGCAAACCCCATTGAAATTGTGAAGAGCACAATTCAAAGCATCGATGAACACCTGGGTATAGAGCAAACACGGATTCCGTGACGGCTTCGTCAGAATCACAAAACGATCGTGTCTTGCACAACACCTTGCTCTGGAAAATCTCATCCGCAACAATGCTCTAGATAACTAAGAGTCTGCCATGATATCTCCCATGCACTTACTATTATTCACGCCTACATGTTCCTCTGAAAGTCCGATTGAGCAGATGGCTAACAAATTAGAAATGAAGCAAACGCTTCGCCTCGAAATTGCAATGATAGATTAGCATTTAACGCTACAGTTCAAAACAGTTCTATCGGCAACGGGACTTTTGGACAACTTTAATGCCCTCATAGATACATGGTATAACTTAGTCCATGAACCTTAGGAGCATCGAGATAAACATTGTCATCGTGCATAATGCACAATTACCAGGAGTATCTCAATGTTTCAATGTTGAGTTGGACATGAAATATGGAACAGTTACCATGTGACAAAAAGACCACCTAATGCAAAAACCACTTGCTTGCACTAGATAAATCTTTTCAAAATTATTAGGACATGGTGATTGTAAATGAGAAGGGTTCTTTATACTTACTGGAAGAAGGAAAAGATCACAAATTTTAAGTTTTTTGTTTAGTTGAAATGAAAAAGTCCAAATTAGTTGGCTTTATATTTATGAAATTTAGTCTAGAAGTTGTGAAAGAAAAATTTGAGGTAGAATACAATTTTTTTACATGAATAATGTTCTCTCCTAAATCTTATAACAGGTCCACTTTAAAAAAGTATATTTTGCAAAAATATTAAAAATTGTATCAAAATTTTCTGAATTTTTTTTAAAATAGATATATATATATATATATATATATATATATGTATTTAGAATTAAGATATAAATTTATATATTTAGACTTAAATTTTAAAAAATTAATTTGTTTCATAACCTCTTTTTATTTGACATTATTTCCACAAGCTAATATTTCTAAAAAAAGTTATTTTTTTGTCAAGAAAAAACCTTTATAAGACTTTTGTACCATGACTTTTTTAAATGAACTTATAGGTATAAAGACTCTTTGAGCCAACTGAAAAATATATATATACTCCAAAAAAATATTTATTCTAATCATCAAATTTGATTTCATATAGAGCAAATTTTAAGATTAAAAGAGATGTATTTTGTTATAACTTATTAATTTAACAAAAAATATTTTTTTGAACTTTTCTAACTTTGTAAATTTTAAGCATGTTAAAAATAATTTTTACATTCCATGTCAAATTAAAATCAATTCTACTATATTTTTATAGTTTCTATTTTTATAGCACTTAATAAATTTTTAACATATTATATATTTATTGATATATATTTTAAAATATAAGCATAATTCAAAACCTAGTGAATTATTTATAAATTGATAAGAACTAGTGATAATTTAAAGAGCAATTTTTTCTATTTATTCCTTCTCATGACTTCTCATTCTCATTGTTCTTTTCATTTGTTAATTCTATTGACATGATTATTGCAAGCTTTTATTTTTCATTTTTTTATCTTACATTGATAATCTAGTCTAAATTCTATTAAATGCTTTCTATAACTTTAAGTAAATTGTGTGGCTTAAACCAAGTACTTTTTTAAAAACTTTTTCTTGGCTGAAGAACATACAGAATGTGGAATGCAGAAAGCATTTGAAATTTTAAATATGGTGTTTGCTTGATGTTGTTGTCACTAATCACGGAGGTGTCCCTGCCAGTGGGATACGACAGAGATCGTTTGCACACAAATTCCTGCTGCTACTTAGCTTCCAAGTCACCATTCTGCCAGTAATGCACTGTTTACATGCTTAAGTGGATTACTTTATCACATGTCACGACAAGGCACTGCACTGAATGACAACGTATTATTGGCCATTTTGGGTAGGAATGAAGATGAATGAGGGTGATGTTTGGCAGCACAGCTAATTGGACGATGGGTCATCAACAGAATGCTCGGTTGTGGGCTTCATCTGAGCCTTTGTTCAAATATCTGGATGTTCCCACTAGGCCATATCCTTCACAGCAATTAAATTAAATCGCTGGCATCCTATGCTCCATCAACTTCATCTTTTGCGGAATGCAACACCAAACATGCTTTCCATCAGTGTTGCTATGTATTACCATTCACAGAATGTCATCTTCTGCAAAACGTCAACAGCTACAAAAACAACTACTTTACTCTGAAAACAGCCCTAATCAGATGCTGGGCCACAAAATCCCAAGCGAGGTCGTGAATAAGACGTGGCATTCTTCACCAGTAGTCGTGCACGGAGAACCAAAAGCAGAGATAGGCGACCAACCTCACTGACAAATCGACTACAAGATGCCAGCGGATCATTTTTATGCGAACAGAATATGCGTAAGAAATGAAAAAAAAAAACAATGATCACAACCATGTAATCACTAGAAGGCTCTATCTCAAAAAATCATCGTTCAAATTGTCACCTCAGCGAACTCCAACGAAACGCCAGCATTGACGAATTTCACATCAGTTACTCGCTAATCATACAATTAAGAATTGGCCCTACCTCTACATTCCTCTTCCACTCTCTCAACCACATAACCACATAATAGAAGATTCTAGCTGAAATAGAAACGTTCAACAGAATTATGTATTTGCAAGTCCCTGTACAGGTGAGCCGTCGTTAGAAAATCACACTGTGTCAGGCTCATCAAACAACACCTGGGACAGAACCAAAACAAAAGCAATGGCAGCAAAAAGCTACGCAATAACAGCTTCCATAGAAGCCAGCGATTGTAGGAATTGTGATAATCTCAAGTAACAGACCTGACTCATTCGCCAACCTTCAAAAGGTCCGTGTCTAAATGGCCCACAAACCAGCACCGACTGAAACCTACCCTACGTTTACGTGATCATACTACAGCTCTATTTCCGCCGGCGAAAAATCTAATCAAACCTAAACCTTGCAACAACACATTCGCTGTCCGTGAACTACATTCTTAGCTCCACCACAGCTCTGAAGGATAGTCTACTAAAGCATCCACTAAAAAAAAAATGCCCTGCACACGCCTTACGCCGCATACGGTGGATCGATCATCGCCCACTCGAACACTTGCTCGTACTGCAGCGCAGACCGCGTCCACGACACGTCCTTCTCCATCCCCCGCTCCTGCATCCGCGCCCACCCCTCCTTGTCGTTCCGGTACGCGAAGATCGCGCCCCACAGACTGTTCACCATCGCGTCCTTCGACAGCGGCGAGAATATCCACCCCGTCCCGCTCCCCTCTCCGTTGTTCGCATCCGGGTTGTAGTTCTCGATCGTGTCCCGCAGCCCGCCCGTTGCGTGCGCTACTGGGATCGTCCCGTACCGCATCGCGTACAGCTGGTTCAGCCCGCATGGCTCGAATCGAGACGGCATCAGCAGGATGTCGCACCCTGCCGTGATCCTGTGCGCCACCGGCACGCTGAATCCCACCCACCCCCGGAACTTCTCCCTGTACTGCGTCTCCGCCCACTTCATCCACTTCTCCATCTCCGTGTCCCCGCTCCCCAGCATCACCACCTGGATGTCGTCCGTCATCAGCTCCGGCAACCCCTCTTGCACGATGTCCGGCCCCTTCTGGTAATCCAGCCGCCCGATGAACCCGATCAGCGGCACCTCCGGCCTCACCGGCAGCCCCAACTCCCTCTGCAGCGCGGCTTTGCACTCCGCCTTCCCCGCCATATCTCCCACCGTGAACGTCGCAGGCAAATGCCGGTCCACCGAAGGGCTCCAGTCGTCCACGTCCACGCCGTTCGTGATGCCGTTGATCACAGCAGCTCGGCTCCCCAGCAGCTTGTCCAGCCCGCACCCTCCCTCCGGAGTCGTGATCTCCCATGCGTACCCCTGGCTCACCGTCAGAATCCGATCCGACGTCACCACCGCCCCCTTCAGATGATTCACCGCCTCCCCCTTGTCCAACGCGTGCAATCGAGCCCACTCCGGGAACACCCACTCCAGCGCCCCGTACCATTCCAGCGGGATGCCCAGGTTGCTGAACGTCGTCGCCGGCTCCACCCCTTGGTGCGCCAGGTTGTGGATCGCCAAAATGCACCGCGAGTTCACGTACACGCCGTGCCGCCTATACTTCGACGCCAGCAGCACGGGCACCAGCGACGCATGCCAGTCGTTCGCCACGAACACGCACTTCTCCCCGTACGTGTACCCGCCCAGCGCCAGCACCAACGGCGCCTCGCACGCTGCGTGGCACAGAAGAGTGAACCTGAATTGGTTGTCGCCGAATGCGCCCCTCGTATCCCCGTACGGCGTTCCCTGCCGATGGTACGACGGATGGTCCACGAACACCCAGTCCACCCCCGCCCGAAACTCGTGAAAGAACGCCACTTCGTGCGTCGCCCCGAAGCACGCCACCGGAATCCGGCACTGGCAATCGAACGCGCCCTCGTACATCGCGTCCGTCACCCCGTTCATGTACCGCGGAGCCACCACCATCACGCGGTGCCCCCTCTGTGCCAGCGCAATCGGCAGAGACCCGCACACGTCTCCCAACCCACCGGTTTTCGAGTACGGCGCCACTTCCGCAGACACGAACACGACGTTAAGCAGAGTCTTCGCGCGCTTCGTCTCGTCCGAGTCCGCCAGATCCTTCAGCATCTGCTCCTGCTCTTGGTTTCTTTCGCTGGGGTCGGCCGAGAACGTCAGAGTGTTCTCGGGCGCGGGGGTTTGCGGCCATGCACCGATGGACGACTCCACCGCGCTGCACCACACGCCATTGCGGCTGGAAGACGAGGATGAGACAGCCTTCAGAGGAGTCACCTGCACCACCAGGACCTCAATTGCCGACGTTTTCAACGACAATGCCCGGCTGATACGAGAAGTACTAACCCAATTTCCCCGAAGCCCAGAACCTATCCCTTCTTCAGTTCTCTTGTGTGAAGATGCAACCCCTGTAGACGCCACACCCCTGCCGCAGCAACTCGTCAGCTGGACTGCCGCCATACTCTCTTACAGCATAAATCAGTCTCTGAATATCTGCACCAGTACCACACACCACACCCCATCCGTCCTCTCAGCATACCTGCCGCAACACAACCGCATCCGTCATCCTGGAAGATTTCCTGTAGATCACATTCTGGGATTTCCGACCTCGACTGAAGCGGTGTGAAGACAACCGAATGTCCTTCACATTCGAACCGCCACCACTTCAGCCCAAGTGCATCACAAGAAAACCCTCTCGATCATGTAACATAGGTTACCATTACCAGAATTGACAAAATGAGAAATAGGGACATGCCCACGACCGAACCCTGAAACGTGAAAAGCTTATGAATTTACACACCACGTTTCAAGAATGCAATGGCAGTCCAGAATTCATATAGAGACACGATGAAACACTCTTAACTACTCAACAGAACCATCGCCACTCGACTCTCAAACACTCTCAAACCAACCAACATGCAAGAGACAATCCCGACAACCATCACCACCCCACTCGAATCTCCACCATTCCTCGCCAGTTTCGACAAGCATTCCGACCCCCTTACTCCACCGGAAACTTCCCCACCGTTGATCACACACCGACAATCAAAAAAATAAAATAAAAAAGATTCCATCTCACATCACGTCTGGTGAGCCTCGGCGCGACGAAATACCTGCAAATCCCCGAACTCCCCAGCTCCTCCGCGTCCTCGTTTCCACCCACTGCAGCTGCTCCCTCCCTGCACCGTCAACACCCCACGCGACCACGCATCGACCGACCAACCGCGGCTTCACCCCGGCGAGATCTTATCAGGATAGCAACCAGAGGCAGCTCGCGCATCAAACAACCAGGCTCCGACCCTATGCTTCCTTTCTCCTCTCACTTCCACTTCTTTCCGCCTCGGTTCCACCGGCCAACAATCCCCTTCCTTCTATGGTACCTACCAGATGGGTTTTCTACCCACCACCCAAGTGATTCCCCCTCTCCTGGTAGGTAGTTGAGCGGCATCAACGGGATCGGGGACACGTGGTCAGGAGGCCGTCCCCCTCCCCAAAGCCCCACCATAAAGCTGGGGGAGATATTCTGCCTCTTGGTCACGTAACCGGTCACGTGTTCAAACCCCCGCTCCAACATTCTTCAGTGGATGTTGTACCCCCCCCCCACTTGTGCCTCTTTAAGCTCGACATCCGTCCATTGGTGGAAAAGTCATCCAGTCAATTAAACCCTAAAAGTTCCTGTTTCCAAATATGACCTTGCCCTATTCTTCACCACCACCCAAAGAGAGATGAGACCTCGTTCGTCATGAAAGAGTAACAATAAATAAATAAATCTTTCTAAATTATCTCACAATGATATTTTTCGACAAGGTTGTGCTTTTTTCCTTTACACTTCAAAATTCAATCGGTTTGTCTTACTTGAGTTTGGAGAGTGTGATGAGCGCATGTTGTGTGGTCTGGACCTAGGAAATGTAAAATAATGTGAGTTGCACTTGGGACATTCCCAATGGTAAATCATCGTGATGAATTGTTCTGCCGGTTTCAGATTCCAACAGCTGAGAAGTAGAAATGGAAATATAATTTACCGTTTTTCCAAAAAGATAATATAACACATTGCAATAATCCTTGTGCTGTTCATTCAATTGTACAATCACATCTCAATTACTTTGGGAAGCTTACAGTGACATGTAAAATATCTATGTAATACATGCAGTGGATTATACTCATTTAAATTTCACAATTTTGTTCTTTCTTCAATTCTAAAGTAGTATACTATTTAAAGTGAACACTTGTAGAGCTGTATCTATCTCGTATCTTCAATTGTTTTATTTTTTTTATCGTTTAATTTATGCATTATCACTCTCAACTGAATGCACTGTAATTACAAAATGTAATGAATTGTCTACCCCATATGTAAAATCTTGCACTACATGTTTTTACTTTTTACATGTAAAATCTAAGGTATATGCATCACATTTAAGACCATAAATCTTAGTATCATATGGTAAACCTCAAACTTTGTGCCTCGATTTACAATAAGCAAGCCACAATAATATTCAGTATGTTCCATGCAAGTATGAATGTATTATCGTCTTAATCATAATAAGAAACCATTACATCAATCATTTAATTACATCATGTTTTGTATCGCTTGATTTGTCAGAGAAACACATGTTTGTAAATTTATTAAAGATGTTTTGAATACGTTGTCAATTATTTGTTAAGTTGGCGCAAAACACTGCACAAGTTTTCTATCTTGTAAATTTATTTATTTCCCAATTTTTTTTGTATTATGGGATTCGGAACGCCCCACATTTAAAAAAATAGACCAACAAAACCATTTTGACTACATCATGGATGGGAAATCGATTAATAAATACCTACACCATCGAAATATTGGAAAAAGAGGAAAGGAAAAATCTGGGCATGCAATCAACCCCTAAAAATGTATTATTATTATTATTATTATTATCATTCTACTGTATGTTAAAAACCTTATAAACTCGAAATTGTAACTGACGAAGCTTCACTTTATATTACGAAATTTTAAATTAAATTTTTGATTTTTCATAATATCAATACCCATTATTTAATGATAACTGGACACAAGGCTAAGTGTGAAGGCCCTTCTTCTGCAATAGATTTCTGCATGTCCCGTAACCCTATTCTGAATCTGCACTTCAGAACGAGTTCGCGCCCGTCCATCTTTACTCTGCAGGTTCTATAGCGATCGGTCTCCTTCTATCGCCAATCTGGAGCACAAGAGGAGATTGTTGTGCTGAATTTTCCATTGATCCACGTCGTAGTTTTGTGATTTTCATTTCTCATTACCGCCTTTTACGATGGCAGACAAGGAGGAGGTGATGGCTGATGCGTCCGCCGTGGAGGAGGCCCCTGCGCCGGGAGAGCCTATGGACATTCTCACCGGGCTGCAGATGGTGTTGAAGAAGGCGCTGGCGCACGACGGACTCGCCAAGGGGTTGCACGAGAGCGCCAAAGCCATTGAGAAGCACGCCGCGCAGATGTGCGTGCTGGCGGAAGATTGCAACCAGCCTGATTACACGAAGCTGGTGCAGGCGCTCTGTCAGGAGCACAATGTAAACCTGGTCTCGGTCCCCAGCGCTAAGAAGCTCGGCGAGTGGGCGGGTCTGTGTAAGATCGATTCCGAGGGGAAGGCGCGGAAGGTTGTGGGATGTTCCTGCGTCGTTGTGAAGGATTACGGGGAGGAAACCGAGGGCTTGAACGTCGTGAGAGAGTATTTCAAAAACCAGTAGTAGGGCTTAATTTTGTTTTGTTTTATTTCCCCGCGAAGGTGACAATAGCTGCCAACCCATTTAATTGTTCATTCTAGCATGTATTGTCCTAGAATCAGATCTGGTTCCCTCGCTCTCTCTCATGCTTCGCCGGTTCTTTCTTAATTACGCAATTCTCTCTGATCTGCTTGTGGAAACACTGTGAATTGCATTGCTAGTCCTTTCTACGAGTGCGTGGATTGATTTGGGGTTTCTTCTGAAACTGTTTGTTTTGTTTGTTTTTAGTTTTAAAAATCTGAGTCAAGGTTTGGGGACCAATTTCGAGGTTTAGGGTTGTGGACAATTGATCCATAGAAGTTCGATACATTGGAATCGGTTCTTTTTATGGACCACCTGTTTCGACAATAGAAAACCATCTTTAGTTAATTCTGTGGATCAAACAGTAAGGTTTCGAAACTTTTGTTGCAACTACATACTCTTCCCGTTTCATTGCTCTTAGACGGGTGACATTTGGTCCATTCAGTTTCATTTTTGAATTTGTTCAATTTGAGTCTCGTCGTAATATTTCGTCGTACTTTCATAAAAATCTCTTTCATACTGTGTGTGTATATTTACTTAATGCCATAAAAGCACATTTGTTTGGTTAAGAAGTTCAATATGTGGTCGGGAAAATCTTAATTTACATCATGATTTTTCTGAGTTTTTATTCTTAATTTTTAAAACTGAAAAATTGTCTTAATCAAACCACTAGAATTAGGTTAAATAACCTACATTCATCCTAATATGTTTCTACTTTGAAAAGAAAAATGAGTGATTTTATTCTATTTTTGCTATTCCTCTTGATCAAGCTCTCATCTTGACAATTGAAATAAAATTCTAATTGCATATTACATTACAATGCATATTTAAAATAATTTCAAAGTATTTGTATTGAAGAATAAATTATCACATATATTTTCTCACCATCAAGGATATTATATAACATAAATCTAAATCAAAGGGCATGATTTTGGAATGTTGCTAATGCCACCACAATTTTTTCTAAATCTATATTATATATCACAATGCACTTTGTGGAACATTATTTATGCATGCCACAATGGATAATGTGTATATTTCAAATGGATGTTTTAGTATTCTGCAAAGTGCATTGTGGTGTATAATGCAAATTTAGGACAACTTGTAGTAGCATTGATAAAAATTATGATGGCATGTGGTGCACGGCAAGTATGCGGTGGTGGTAGCAAAAAGTGAGGTGGCATTAGCAACATTTTATTTTTAATAAAAGATAAAGAAGTAAATAAAATAAGATCAATGTAAAAACTATTTAAGAATACATCTTAAGAAAACAAAAAGATGGAGAATAAATATTAGAGAATAATAATTAAAGGCATTATTAATGGATGTGAATGTTATGAATTAGTCCTAAAATTGTAATTGAAATTGTATTTTTTATTTATAGTAAAGTCTATATATATGCATATAAAATAAAAGATGATTAAAATAAGTTTATATTTTTGTTAAAAAAAAATCATTTATATATGAATAAGAAGATTACAAAAGCTTGTACTTAGTTGTATGAGATGAGTTTGTTTAAGCATTTAATCATATTGTATAATGTTTTTATTTTTATTATAATTTCTATAATATTAGTGCTAATTTTGTTTTATTTTTTAATTCATATAAGATGTAGATTTGGCTTTAGACTTTGTTTATAGGATTTTCAATCTTAATAGCTTAGCAAAATCGGATTTTATCTATTTTTATATTTTATTTTATAAATTTTAGTCTAAGAAGGAAGTAAATTAGAATGTTTACTTTATTTTAATATGCTTTGGTGTCATTCATTGGATATCATTGGTTTGATAGTTTGTTAATAACAATTTAACCTACTCACAAGTTTAAGTCTTAGAAGTAATAAATTGTGGCTAAATACAATATTATAGATTTATTTATTTATTTTAGTGACAATTTTATGATGAAATCTTTTTCTAATGATTTGATACAAAAAACACTTGAAAAATGCACCATTTTCTATCTTTCGAAACCAAAACAAGGAAATGTACAAAGAATTTAACAAAATTTTGCAAAGTTTATATAATATGTTGCCTTTAACTACTAATGCTTTGTTTAAAACATATTAGATTTAAAAATAATTGATAGAGATTTTAAAACAAAATATATTACATATGCATGTTTATATTATTAGTTATGTTTTAGGATTTTAAATAGGACATATTTTCACTTAGAAAGCTACATTTAACATCCAATATTAAGGTAAGTTTATTTATTTATTTATTTTTAATCTCTTTATTACAAAGTTGAATCTGTAAAAGAAAAAAACGAATTAAATACAATTACTCTATTAATATTAATTTAAAGACCATACTAAGAAATAATCATTTAGAAGACCGTTTTGTTTGTGGTATAAATATTAACAAGGATAAAAGCATGAACAATATCTTTTAGCTTCAAATACAACTTTCACTTAATAAGTTTTTCTTTTAATTTTTTTTAAAGAGTAATAAAATGTGATGTATTTGAGATCTAGATATTAGTAATTCTATATTTATGGTCATTTTAATAACAATTGAGAAATTTGAATAAGTTATTATTTATGTAAAATATTAAAATGATGTAATGCAATTTCTTGGTTGAATTTTTGTAAAGTTAAGTTTTATTTTAAAGATTTCATACATATTGTAATATCATCTAATCTTTTGATTTATAAATACTTATCATTATTGATAATTTTGATAAGTAGTTAGATTCAATTATTTTTAAATAATAATATACCAATTCTTTATACTTGAAATTAATAAATTTTGGTATGTGGTAGAGTATTAAAGGTAAAAATCTAAATAAAGTTTTAAAATAATAATTCATTTATGTATTGATTTCTATTTAATTTAATAGTTTAGGCATTTGTTATATTTTCTTCATGTTTTTTAGAAATAAGTTCCATAAGAATTAACAAAGTTATTATTAAATTAATAAAGTCAAAGGTTTATTATACAATGTTTGCTACAATATCTAATTTATGATTTGTATAAAGGTGGTTAATTGGTCTTCTGAGCCTCCAATAGTATTTTATTCTTACACAAAAAAACCAGCTAGTTATTTGATTATTTTTGAAGCATTTGTAATTTACTTTGAATAATATATACGGAATATTATCAAGTAGTCTATTTATCTCCAATAGTCTCACTAAGTATTAAAATTCTTTGCTAAGATTGTAGTACCACATATATTATATTTTTTTCTATCTATATAAAATTAGATATATTTTTAAAAAAAATTTATCTTATTTTTAATGTAATAAATTTAATTTTTTTTTAAAGATTCATCAAGTAATAACACAAATAATATTTTATGAGATAAATTCATTGGTAGTTAATTCTTTATTTTATGAAGAAGTTTTGAAAGCCAATTTCTAGATTTATTTATCTTTTTATTTTTATTTTTATATCATCTTATTGTTAATGGTTGGTCTTTGGTTTTAATGGATGTTATTGATATAAAAAAATCAAAAATTACTTTTGGCATATTATAAAAAATTTAGATGCCTTCTATTTGCACTCATTATAATCATATTCATGCCAATGTATAAGACACTCCAATTTATTTTGGCATCACCTTAAACTAAGTTTTTTCCACTTTAAATTCTTAGTTTTTATCTATTTTAATTAGAGGTTGAAAAAAATGCTTCTTTCCTATATAATTATAATATAAGGTTCTATAAGAAATATACAAGGAATAAAATAAAATATCATTAATTTTGGTAATTGCAACCAATATGAAATTAGATTATTTACTTGATTAATAAGTCCTATAAGTCTTTGATGCCTTGCTTTTATAAAAGATTCTAAATCTTAAAAATATTCTTAGTATAATTTGATAAAATTTCAATTCTTAAGATACAACTTTAAAAATTGAGAATATATTATTCTTATAAATAGGGAAGGAGTGTGTTACATCTATGATTGTTCTTTTTGTTCTTGCATTTAAATAAAGAGCACAGCCAATGTCATATAAAAGTACTTGTTTTCTCAACTTCATCAATCAATAGAATACAAGTAGAAACAATGACTTTTATCATGCTCTCCACACAAACATAACAAATGAAGGTGTTTATATCTTTGTATCACATCATTCAATAAAGTACAAGAAATGAAGTTTTTACAGTTAGTCTGTCTACCTCTCAATATAACTAGAAAGTCTGAAGATCATCTGCCCAGCCATGGAAGAAAAGACCTGTGAACCCACGTTCATCAGGTGAATTCAGAGACATTCCAGTATGAAGCAACGATATTAACAATAGGACTCAAAATGAAGAGTGATAGTTTGTTGGAATCAGTGGAGCTGCACCAGGATACCACAATTGCTACATGTTACTAAACTAGATCAGAAACAATGCAGAATCTGATGTTCCTAAAAACGAGAAGTCGAATAATCTACCAAACGGAAAAGAAAGAAAAGAGAGAAAATTGCTAACTTAAAGCACTTCGTGTCCAGATTTTAGCTTTTCAACGGAACCAGGAGGGAGAAAATTGCAGGTTTCGGTTAGTTCGATGTGTATAATTTTTATGACCCCAATTCAAAGATATAGACCCAAGAACTAGAAAAGCCCCATTTTCAGGGATGTCAGAGTTTAGATTGGAAAATTCCAGTTGATTCCAGTTTAAATCACATGAAACAACTCCATTCTGGGAGCAAAGTTTGTACTCCATGGTTGAAACAACAAAGTGTTTGAGCACCTCGGTCAGGGGATTCTTCTAACATGTCCCTAGCGAGGAAGGCAGCAGTTTGGACTCCTTTTTCGCTCTCACAAAACCGTCGCAACCCTTACTGATTCTTCATTTGATAAAGCTACTGTCAATCATCTACTCACACTACGAGAATGTTGGCAACAATCAGCATAGAGAATGCAACAAATTTTCAGAAGAGTGCAAAGTGCTCAATACCCACATGTGTAGATATGGAGCAGTAAACGCCTCACGTTCGTCTTACCCACATTCTAATTATCAATGTCCACTTGTATGAGAATCGAACTAGGTTTGTGGGAGCAATGCTGCTAGTCAATGCAGTTGGTGACCAATTGCTGCTGCATGTGTAATCTGCAGGGCATCAAGCTACTGCTTACACTTCAACCTGCGTGTGATCACCAATTTAGGAATCGTTTTGAACCTTCCAAGCCGATATGACGACAATTGCATTCACTATGCAGCTCTGCAGAGGAATATTCTGATGATAAGTACCTCAAATTACTAACGACTCTGCAAACCATCATTTTGGGGGGGGGGGGGGGGACGAGACGTAGCAAACCGAGAGCAATGGATGACGATGAGGAGGAACTCCTGCCATAAAGAACTCCAGCCGAAATCACACAAAAAACAACCAGAGTATCTACCCGAGGATTTTGAAGC